TTAGAGTTTATGTCTATGCTGAAATGATCAACTGAACGAGTTTTTTTTTTATTTAAGTGTATTTTGTCGGGACAACTAATTCATGTATTCTCTTCCAGTCAGCTCTATTTCAAGCTATATCATCGCTCTCCCTTTACGACATAAGGTCTAATGTCTCGCTGTCACTTTTGGCCTCTATTTTTCTAATATGTTCTTTAAAAAATCGTCATGTCATATAAGGTGTCCCAGTATTTTATCCCTTCTATTCTCTATTGCCTTTATTAATGTTCTTTTCTCATTCACCCTTTTTAAGACTTCGTTAACTGAAATGAACGCGTGCAAACTGCACATTTTAAATTTAAAATCAATCGAAAACTACAGAAATCTTTATAATGAAAAGATGCTTATTATTTTTTAACAGTTTTTTTTTCAACGGTACAAAGCGGAACCAGACTAATCGAGAAAACCACTTGTTGACGTCACTGGCTGCTAATAATTGCATCACCGTGAACTTGCCTTTTGTATTTTTTATTAGCTTTCATTCAAAAATCCTTCGTAATATCAGTAACCGATAATCTGATGGTAACACCAGTATTGCCATTTAATTATATTAGACAGTATTAGTGGTCTTATCTTTGTAATTTAGGAATACTGACTGACTGACTGACGTCATTTTAGATTATATAGATAGAGTATTGGGTAAAAAAAATCTAGCCAACTTTTGACCAGCAAAGTGACTAGAGGACTGAAATTTGACATACATTTTTTTTAACTAAAACAACGCGCACCTTACTTTAGTGTTGCTAGTAATTAGATTAAAAATTTTAAATTTAAATTTCGAAGTATATATTTTGATATAAATATTCAGATTATGTGTATGTATTTGTATTTATTGCTTACAAATTGACAAACATGTATTAATTAATATGCGAACCACTTTTAAAGATTTTGACGTTTAAATTTTTTTTAGTCTATTTTTATATTAATTTTTATAGTATTATGATTTGTAATGTAAAAATTTTTAATTTGTAATTTAAAATAGTATTATGATTATGTAAAAACCTTAGATTGTATAGATACGAGTGTCTCTATACAAATGCTTCGAAAAAAACAGATCAACTTTTTCATAGGGTTTTGTGTGATAAAATGTTATGGGTGATTCCTTTATAACTTCTATATTTATTTCCCCTTATAATTTCTGCATGTTTTTAATGCATAAATACTCATTTTGTTTATTAAATAATACGTCAAAATACATTATATTCGTCAGTGTATAGAACACTGATAAAAAACGTCTCAGCTATTTTTTATAATTTATGGGAAGTTTTTTAAAAAATTGTACACAAATGGTTCAAAAAAACCCGTATAATGCAACTTTGTCCATCTGTCCCTCTGTCATAGCAGACAGAGGGACAGACGGAGGGAGACTTTGTACAAAAGTCGATTGCTTGGGTACCTCTGTCCCATTCGTGTTTCAACCGTAAAGCGGTTGTGTTTGTATGGCTGTGTTTCGGTTTGAAGGGTGGGATATGGCGTGAATTTACAGGGTACAGAGGAATAACAACTGAGTCCTCAGGAATGGTAACGCATGGGGGGTATCATGGGCGAAACATTATACTCTGTTATGTCCATAGTACTGCTCATGTCTATAGGCGACGGGTACCACTTTACATCAGGTGGGCCGTCAGCTTGTTTGCCATTCTAAGTTGTATATAAAAAAAAAGATCGATTTGCATTTATTCGCATTGGCGATATAGTAGATACACTAATATTTTATTTTTATACCACTGAGATGGCAAACAAGGATACGGCCTACCTGACGGTAAATGGTTACCATATCCAGTCAGCCATATGCTTCTATCGGAAGAATATGATGCCATTATATCACTGTTGTTGCAATTTGAGAGTGCAATAGTCTAAATTCCAGTATCGATCTTGATCTATTGAAATTTACTTAAAAGTAACCCTAAATTTTTTTTTATGCAACTTAGAATGGCAAACAAGCTGACGGCCCACCTGATGGAAAGTGGTAACTGTCGCCGGTAGACATGAGCAGTACCATGGACATAACATAGTATAATGTTTCGCCCATGATACCCCCCATGCGTTGCCATTCCTGAGGACTCAGTGTTATTCCTCTGTACCCTATAAATTCACTGCCATATCCCACTCTTCAAACCGAAACACAGTCATGCAAACAACTGCTTCACGGTAGAAACACGAATGGGACAGAAGTGGCTAAGCAAACGACTTTTGTACATAGTTTAATTTGAAGTTGTTAATTTAGATTGGGTTTTGTTTTTTCTCGTATAATACAAATATACCATCAAACAAAATGTATCCGTCTGTCTAGTAAGATCTTTTTTTAATGGATAAGAATGGAGTACTAACCCAGTATACGCTGGCGAGTCACCAGTGAAAGATGATAGGTGAGAATGAAAACAGGTCAGTTAGCCTGTCGTGATGAATACACCTGGAATTTAACACGACGGTTTCCAGCGTGACCACGTAGAGGTCGACCTGACAGGGTATATTGCAATGTGGCTGGTAGTTCACATTACTAACAATCCCTTCCCCCCTCTAGTAAGATCTATCGGTGTATCTCGCGCAGAAGCATGATATAATAACCACTGTTATCTCCGGCCGCAGTTATATCAACAACTGCGACCAATTTGAGGGAAAACCTATTATTTCTATGGAAATACTTGATTTAGTTACAAAGTGCCGTCAGATTATGGCCATTATTGGTATCGGCAAAAGTGAAACTCAAGTGGAAAGTCATTGTGCAAATTTCATTGCAAATTATTTGCTCACAACAATTGAAAAGGTAATTTTTGATGCACTATTAAACTTTGACACTAATAGCCACAGAGGGTAATATCGTACTAGGCCTTTGGTTACTTCCGTCTCATTAAATTCTGTCTAGCAGTTAGCTTGCAAAGAATCCCTTCAAACTGGAATAGTAAGTTTCAGCTTTTTTTTTTTTATACCACTGAGGTGGCAAACAAGCATACGGCCCACCTGATGGTAAGCGGTTACTGTAGCCTATGAACGCCTGCAATACCAGAGGTATTACGCGTGCGTTGCCGACCCTGAAGAAACCTCTTTACCCCCCTTTTGAAGAACCCCATGCTGTAGTCTCTTGGGAAAATCTAGGCAGGGAGCTCATTCCACAACCTGAGTGATTGTGGGAGGAAACATCTCTGAAACTGCGCTGTACGCGACCATTGAAGCTGTAGGACATGAGGATGAACTCCCTGTCGATGGCGAGCGGTACGATGGTAGAAAGTGGCTGTGGGCATCATATTGAACAATTCCTCTGAGCACAATCCATTGTACAGCTTGAAGGGTTTTTTATTTTATGGTAGAAATTGAAGGGTAAATCCGCCCGTTCTATCGATATAGGCTAGCAAATAGGCATGAGTAATAATAACCGAATCCGAATCCGAATAAGTACCGATCCGACATCTACGAGTATATATTGAGTTCCTCTGAACATTAATAGCAAAAAAGGTAATAATCCGTTTCGATATCGCCCATATCGATCGGATATCTATTTTCGAATATGTTTGAGTAGTCTGTTATCCAATAGTATTTTTTGGATAACAGACTTTTAACATATATATAATTGTGCCAGTATATAGATTTTGTAACTAAAATATATAAATATTGCTATATATTCCTACCTACCTACCTCTATTCGGTGTGCTCAAACTCTTACTAGCTTCAAAACCTCTGTTAAATCTTACTACCTCTCACTTTAGTACTATTTTCCTGTGTTCTCTCTTCGTTTTCCTTCGTCATTTTTTTTTCTGTTGTATGTGTGCTGTTAAGTATGTGTATGTTATGTATATATTTAATTGTGTATATATTATATATGTATGTGTATGTATGTATTTATGTTATGTATATATTTCTTTTTACTTGGTGCAATAAAGTGTAAATAAATAAAAAAATAAAATAAATATTCCTAGCGAGATGCCACTAAGGGATGATAAAATTGGATGAAGTCAGGTTAGTTGATCCATCGTAACGAATTCTCTAAGAATTAACTAAGAAGCTGTCAGCGTATACTGGTAATAATTTAAAAGCTGTATTCCTTATTTATTTACAGCAAGGCAACAGATTACAAATTCATACATTAGTAATAAATATTACATAAAACAGCATCAAATTTGCACTCCAATAACTGCTCTGCATAACATTCGATATTACATACAAATATAAAAAGAATAACGGCTATAAATTTAAAGTAACAAATTGACAGCATTATTATTAATAAGGTTAGATTATGACATGCAAATTGTAAAAAGTATTGTCATCTAAAATTTTCCTCTCAACGTTTTGCATCACACGAGTGACACTGCACTATATTGGTTTATTGGTTCAGTTAATTATACCTATTATTATGGATTTAGACGAGATTTGGAGGGTTAAGTATAGTATAATCCTAATATAACACATGGAGCATTTTACATGTCGATCTGTGCGGGCAAAACCGCCTGTATTTAGTAATTACCTATCAGGCAATACATTATGCTCATTACTTTGTTCCCGAAATGCTCATTGGGGGAGTTTAGGAATCAGTAGTTAAAGGAGTAAAATTTAATGTATGTACATACAAACATATCTGTCACGCCTGTCTCCCATTAGAGTAGGCAGAAACAATGGAACGCCAAATGTTTCGATGTATTCTTTAATGTATGTTAACTTCATTTTAAATTAAATAAATGGGTAGGTATCATTAAACTTAGCTTTTATCAAAATATTCAAAATATTATTTTCATATTTATATTTATAGATTAAAACAAGCAATTATCTTAATAAATAAATTAAATAATGTTATTTTATACGACTGTACTGTCTTTAAAACCATGGTTATTTAATTGTTTGGAAATTTGAAATTGTTTACCCATCGCCAATATATATGCATAAAATATAGTTTACAATTTTTAATAAAAAACAAATTAAATTAATAATTATTATATAAGTTATTATAGATAGGTATATCAATTACTTACCTCTAGGACTATAAGCTTCCAAAGCAGCAAACAACAAAAAAATCACTACACACTTCGCGGCGACACAGCGCGACGACAGCGCCATCTTTTATTAAAAAATACGCAATATCAGTTCATACTTGACTTTTGAGCAATACATTAAAATTAATGATTATTAAAATTGATTAATTATCAATTGATGTAAACTAGGGTGAACCATAATTTATGCAATATGTTAAAGTGTTAATCATCATATTATGTAGAAGTTATGATCGGTGCAGATGACGTCTGAACTTGACGGGAACCAAATTAGAAATGCGACGAAAAAACGCTTCGGTCGCGCCGGTTGCGCGCGCGCTGTTATTATTGACTAACGATAGGTACAATGTTTTTACTTTTTTCCGCGGTGCGCCCGCGCCGGCGCCCGGTACCTATCCCCACTGGGAAAACGCTGCGGTTGCACTGTTGGGGTACGCAACATTTTGTTTCGTTTCCGCATTACAATTATTTAATATTGATCACTTTTACAGACTACACGGATGACCGAATTGGAGAGAAAGTGGAATCGTTGATAGCATTGGAATATTACAGTTTGCGAAACATTGCCTCGTTCAAAATTATTTTCCAGAAGGGGCTTAACTATTTAAAATAGGTATAATATGTACTCTCAAATGTGTCCTTATGTATAGGTAAAAGCTCTGTTCGTATCTTACGGTGGGCATAATAATTATAGGATGGTCATGGACCAAACCCATTCAAATACGTCTGTGGTTACGAATGGCGTAATGATTGTGTAAATATATAATCATATTTAAGCAGATTTTGTAATGGAAAAAATATATTTATAGCTAGTTATGCAGAAAAAAGACACATTACCTTGAATACTCATAAAAAATGGCGGCGAGATGTTGATGAAGTATTTTCTGTGCAACTGGCTCCAATAAATAAATAAAAATAAAAAAAAAAACGTTATTTATTTTACTGTTCTATCTCAATTTTACAATCACTTAAATTTTTTTACACATTTAGTCATGTCGAGTTTATTATTTAATATAATATTTTAACGAAATGATTGATTTAATAATCCTTACTAATATTACAAATATAAAAGTGATATTGTTTGTATAAAAGTGATAGAAAAACTAACGAATGAGAAAGTTGTGAAAAGAGTGAACGAGAAACAAACATTAATTAAAACAATAGAGAACAGCAGAGGCAAAATGTTGGGCCACCTTATACGACATGGCGATTTTTTAAGAGCATAGTAGAAGGAAAAATAGAGGGCAGAAGGTGAAGAGAAAGACCGAGGTATAACTACATGGGACAGATGAAGGAAACACTAGGTGTCATGTCGTTTAGGGAGGTCAAGGATATGGCCTGGGATAGAACTGGCTGGAAGAAGATGCGTGAATTAGTTGCACCGACAAGAGGGAACTCTTAAATGAAAAGAGAGATTGTTTGTTTACCTGTTAGAGTCTTAAGGACTTAACCAATTATTATAAAATTTTGTATACACATACTATATTGGTTGGATTATAGGCTGCTTTATATCCCGGTGAACAGTTTCGTAAAAGATAATAACATATAAATAAAAATATAAGATTACTTGCTGTCTTGTTTTATTAGACAACAGTAGTAGAATTTCACTAACACTTAGGTTATTTAGCATTAAGTTATCTATACTAACATTATAAAGTGGAACGATTTAATTGTTTATTTATAATGCATATACTCAAAAACTACACATCCGATTTTAAAAAAATCTTTCACCTGTACGATAATAGCTACGTTATTAGCGGGTCGTATAGGTTATATATTGTTTTCTATTATTCTATCTACCCGTGTAAAGCTGGGCCGAATCACTAGTATTTTTATATTCTGGCTTATAGAAACGAAAAATACTTGAATAATAAATTGAGTACTTCATATCCAGTCAAGTTATAAAAGTATTTGATTTGCATTGTACATTCAAAACATTGTAAGTATTAATCTTTTATAATAAATAAGTGGATCATATCTTCATGACAAGGAAAAAAGTTCTCAATTTGTCCCTTTTTTGTATTTATTCCATATTCATATTTTTTTTCTCCGCTGTCAAGGTTTATTCTCGTGTTAGTTTCATATTAATTTTATTACATTTAAAGTTTTTTTTTGCGACTCAAAATATTTATATATTTGCCTATCTTGATCCTAAACTTCTAGAGAGAAATAAGTGTTAAAAATCCAATTGGTAGGTACATATATCTCTTGCTAGAAGGTATGAGATATATTACTAGGACTAATAACTTGTCCAATGCATGTACGTCGTTATCACTCTTTACTTAAAGATAGAGGTAAGATGCAAGACATATGTAAAAATGCATTATTTTTTTTTATAGATAATGATTACCGTTCGATGGTAAACGATAGACGTAGAAAGTAAGTCTGACATCATCATAAAAGCATCGCCGACACATTTACGGAGGTGGTTATACTAAAAATAATTACAGTGACACCCTAACACCGTTTTCATAATTAGTTCGTTAGCCGTTTGAAATTCTGGTATTCTAATTGCTTACAGTTTAGTGCCTAATTATTTAAAAAAATATTGATTGTGTGTATTTTTTGACTAATAAAATTAAAATATATCTATCTGTGATTATGGATTACAAGACGATTTTGAGATACGACAGCGGCATTGGATTTAAAAATTTTTCTGTAATACTATAATTCCTTTATGATGACATAGAATAGGCCACTCCTTCCTTTTCCGTGGGTGTCGTAAGAGGCGACTCCCACGGGGGTGTCGTAAGAGGCGACTAAAGGAGGGCGAGGAATAGAGAGCAGCGTCCCTCATAAAATATCTCCAAAGCCTAACTACGGTTGCAAATCCGCCTGTCAAGCGTGGGCAGCTACTGGTGAAATCTCTTTAGGGACAGGCTTCAGCAGTGGACAGTTAAAGGCTGATGTGATGATGAGGGTTATGATAATAATACCGAAATAGGTCCCCTTGGGTGTCGTAAGAGGCGACTAAGGGAGGGCAAGGAATGGGCAGTAGCGTCCTTCTTAAAACATCTTTAAAGCCTAACTGCGGTTGCAAATCCGCCTGCCAAGCGTGACAGCTACTGGTGAAACCTCTCTAGGGACAGGCTTCAGCAGTGGACAGTTAATGGCTGATGTATGATTATGACAATACCACAGAATAAGGCAATCTAACGAATTGCCTAATATTTTTAGATTCGAAAACACTTTTAGAGAATGTATCATTTAGCCTAATTTTATTAGTAACAAGCTAACTCGATAGACGTTGTTCTGTTAAATGAGCGAACTGTCAAACGTGCAAAATTAAAATAGTCGTTAAGTTTTTTGAAATTTCCTAATATTTTCCGTAATTTTCTTAATTGTTCTTACCATCAGAAACATCTTTAAAATATAAGGAAACATAAATAAAAACAATTGAAATAGATTTAGTCGTTCTGAAGCTATGTTATACCCTTTTTATAATAGTAAATTAAAGAAATTAATGAAAAATATTATTATTTTATTTTTAAGAATATTTATGTTAGTTTTATAGATATTTTATATTTTACTTCTTAAATAAATAAAAGAATAATGCTCTAAAATTAAATTTTAATTGTTTATTTGTATAATTTACGAATAGCTGCAATGGAAGACCGCTAATGATTCAATATTGCTATATCAATTTATCATATTTTTTTTTATTGTTAATCTTTTAAATTTTATTTCTATCTTTATTTATTTCTTACCTCACTATTCTTTCTTTTAGTTGAGCTTTTATTTCAATTTACACTTTTTTTAAATTATATATTTGTAACTGACACCAAATGTTGTCAACCACTGCACTATAGAGAGTGAAATGACAGTGTTGCGCGTGCTCGTAGTGACGTAGTCGCAATATACCTACTGTCACGTTTACACTTAATAACTTTATCAATACTTAAAGCACTACTGCTTTCATGTGCCGTCTAAGTAGGTTTCCGCATAACTCAATTTATTAGTATGCCGAAATTTCTTTTCAGTGCATGCTCTTTTCATAATTTGCCAAAGAAATTACTTGCATTGTCCCGTTCATTTGATTCCCAACGTATGTTGTATTTAAAAAAAAAAACAGACTGTCACCTCTAATGATTTGTAATTATACCTACTTAGTTTTTTTTATGCAGCTTAGTATTGCAAACAAGCTGACGGCCCACCTGATGGAAAGTGGTAACCGTCGCCTATAGACACGAGTAGTACCATGGACATAACAGAGTATACTGTTTCGTCCATGATACCCCTCATGCGTTGTCATTCCTGAGGACTCAGGTGTTATTCTTCTGTAGTCTGTTAATTCACTGCCATATTCCACCCTTCAAACTGAAACACAGTTAGGCGAACAGAACTAAGTTACGGGGATTATATTCAAGTGTGGCTAAAACCACATTGAAAAAACTCAGTTTCAAAGTTCTGAACACAACGCAGTGGTACCTTACACCTTTAGTTTAAGGGTAAGTAATAAGTATGTAGTAATTTTTTTTTTGTATTTTTCTAATTGGACTGTCAAATCTTAAAATTATTAAACTAAATTTCTTATGTAAGTAGTATATTCATTTATTTAACTGTATATTTGTTTATGTATTAATAGTTGTAGCACTTCAGCTGCCCGCTAACGAAATGCTTTCTCACTGTACTGGGTTGACTGGAAGAGATCTCTGTCAGAGATAAGTCCACCCTTGCTCACAACATTTATAAATACATTTTTTTATATGTAACTTACAAGTGCAATAAAGAATACATATAAAAATATATAGATATTACATACTTTTTATATTAAGTATATAGTAATATTCTTTATTATTATTATTATTTCATCCTTTAAATGTCCACTGCTGAACATAAGCCTTCCCCGTAATAAAAGTTTTGCCAGTAGTTGCCACGCTTGACAGGCGGGTTAGCAACCACAGTTGATCTTTTAGAGATGTTTTAAGAGGGAAACTGCTATCCGTCCCTCGCCCTCCCTTAGTCAACTCTTACGACATGGTATATCCTTACTGTTGCAGATTCAATTTAATATGTAAGAATGAACTCTTTTTATTATTGCACGTACTGGCCACTTATACTTTTTTACTATTAAAAATATAATGCATTCTGTCGACTCTATTCAAATTTAGTAAAAATGGATGTTGAAAACGTAATATGTATTTTATTTATCTCGTCGTCCTTATAAATATATAATAGTTTAGCCGCATTTGCATCGCAATTATCACAGTTTTCAACACTTACGACTACGACATACAGATTGGACCCATAGAAATTATATCAAAATCGGTTCAGCAGTTTAGTTTTGAAATGAAAATAACTAGTTTTGCAACAATTTAAATTCAAAACATAGTAAGTCAAAACGTAGTAAATAAGTTCATAAAATTCCTGTTTAACATAAATAAATAGATGTCGTTAAAAATTTATATAAGTTTTAAAAATAATATAGCTAATCACAGATAATATAATACTATACTAGTATAAACTAAGAAAATAAAACAAAATTTGGTGAAAATTATAATAATACAAAGACTTTTTTTTTAAATTATAGAAACAGTAAATTTCATTACTTATTATTATATATAATAAATGCCATAATTACTTTTCGCAAAAAAAAAACAAAAACAAAACAAATCTAGTAAATTTTAATGACGATAAATACAATACTATTGCTTCTTTTCATTTCCAAAATAGCGTAAAAGCAAATAAAAGAACGATACAAGCCAATTAAAACCTTAAAGGCCTACATCATGTTTGATGTAGGCCTTTAAGGTTTTAAGGTCGCCTAGGCAACATGGTAATATCTAATACATATTGTTGGGGGGAAAAGGATTGTTAGTAATGGAGACTGAGAATCCCATTGCTAGCGATATACCCAACCAGGTCGACCACCTCGCGGTTCTCCCTGGAAACTATCATGGTTAATTCCTGATGAATTCGTCATGATGAGCTAACTGGCCTGTTTTCATTTTCATCTATCACCCTTTACTGGTGCTCCGCCAGCGTATCCCATTAGCGCAGGCGGAATTACCGTTACCATACCATTTTCACCCATAAAAAAAATCTTAAAGACCTACATCAAACAGCTTGGGCAACATGGAAATATCTAATACATATTGTTGTATGATCCTTGCTACTAATGATTGCTATAAAGCATAATCCATTTTTATTAATTTTATTAGCATTAATATTTTACTGTTAAGTGAGATTAAATATAATTAGTGAATGTAATTAGTAGTAAAATGCTATTGTAATAAGTTGAGAATAACATAAAGTAAAAATATATCGTTGGTTACAAGTTACAGTTGATTTGAGTTTGGATCATTGCATTAAGTCAATGATAACTGGTCTGCCATCTATTAATATTTCTTAAACTTCTTTAGCAAGATAGTCGATATAGTAATTTTCAAATAGCTCCATCTAGTATCTAGTTTATGCACTTTAAGTCACTGCTAACCATAAATAATGGTAGTACTCTTCATCGCCGCCAGATGAGTTTTATTGCAACGATACTTTCTCGCTCGATGTTTCTATCCTTATCGCACATACTTAAAAATTAAGCATGTTAGATAGAGACAGTGAAACTAGTGTCAATGTAACATAACGTAAACATGTGTCATGTAAATTGTAAAATGTCAGTCAGTCGTGAGCCAAATTCCTTACGATCGTTACTCCGACCGATTCTGTGTTAAGTTAAATAAATTCGAATAGTTTATAACTATTAAAACGTAAATCAAACATGACGTAGGTAGTGTATGAAACAAAATAGTGCAAAGTTTCGTGTTTAGTGTGGTAATCAGTGCTGTGATGTCGCTAGTTCTCTTACAAGTAACGGTATTGTAAGTGTCGTGAACTTTAGCTGGTTTGTTATTTGAATACGGCCAGTACGCCACATAAAAGCCTGTTCATGACCAAAAGTTAAGGATGCGAAAATAGGCGTAACTTATTTATTCACAAAATAAACGGTAAGTAAAATGTAATTAGTAGTCACTTGCATAATTTAATTCGCTCGACTGATATTTCAAAATATACAGAGAGTTACGCGAACGTTTTCATTAAAAAAAAATATATATATAACTGTTAATTTAACCATTTATCTGCATACGATTAAGTAAGTATGATAACTTTTTTAATTAAACTGGTTGGTGCCTAAGCATAAAAAAATTTTAACATTAAAAAAAAATAAAGAAATTAAAAAAAGAACCTAATCTAACCTATTTGTAAATTAAATCCAGAGATGCCGATTGGTGTGAGAGGACCGCAGGCACTATGGGTGTGAGTAAAGTAAAACATCGACAGTTGAGCAATGACCTTGCCAATAAAGGTTTGCATTTGCCATTCTCTACCGGTTCGCCAGCGGATTGTTACGCACGTCAGACCCAGACCTAGATGACTCATATTTTGAAAAAATATGTTTAAGAAACCACTAAATTTCTTCCGATATTGGTCATCAAGAAACAAGTTAGCCAGGTCAAGTTTAAACAGGGTTTCTAGTCAAACTTTGTTAAATTAGAAACTGTAAGACATCTATAGCAAATATTTGATGATAATAAACAGCTAGAACTAGTTTTATTACCTATTTTCTGTATAGGTAATACCCATCTAGTTACTAGCTTTACGGAATGTCCTATCTTTGCCCAGTTTGTCTTTAATCCATTAACCCCTTTTTTGTGAATAATTAAAATACCATACAAGTTACCTTATGGGGGGGAGGGAAGGGATTGTTAGCAATGGAGTTTGACAGCCCCATTGCTAGCAATATGCCCTATCAGATCAACCACCACGTGGTTCCCCCTAGAAACCATCGTGAACAATTCTCGTTGAATTCGTCACGATGGGCCAACTGACCTGTTTCATCCTCATCTATCATCCTTCACTGGTGCTCCGCCAGCGTATACCGTTAGCGCAGGTGGGGTCACCATACCATTTTAACCAATCAAAAAAAGAAAACTGTATGTATTAATTATGTAGTTTTAACATCAAATTTGTGTTGCGTTCGGCCCCAAAGTTTCGGAAAACATTTCACAGTACACTCTCTGTTTTCATCTAAATCTACCTTTTTACTGGTTGCCCGCCAGTGTATACTGTTAGCACAGGCGCTTTTGCCATACCATTTTCATTAATTAAACAAATCGTCGCCATATACATATGTGTACATTATGGACATCAAGTAAACAACTATGATGGTCGTAATATATTATAATAACGTGTGGTTGTTATTCCTAAAGAATAAGGTGGTAGGACACAAAAGCCTGTTATTTTAATGCCTTATTCCCTTACCAGAGGGAGACTTTGTACAAAAGTCGATTGCTTGGGCACCTCTGTCCCATTCGTGTTTCAACCGTGAAGCAGTTGTGTTTGCATGGCTGTGTTTCGGTTTGAAGGATGGATAAAAACAGAGGAATAACACCTGAGTCCTGGGGGAAAGGAATTGTTAGTAATGGAGACTGAGAATCCCATTGCTAGCAATATACCCAACCAGGTCGATCTCCTCGCGGTTCTCCCTGGAAACTATCATGGTTAATTCCTTATGAATTCATCATGATGGGCTAACTGGCCTGTTTTCATTCTCATCTATCACCCTTCACTGGTGCTCCGCCAGGGTATCCCGTTAGCGCAGGCGGGGTTACCATACCATTTTCACCCATAAAAAAAAAACACCTGAGTCCTCAGGAATGGCAACGCATGGGGGGTATCATAGGCGAAACAGTATATTCTGTTATGTCCATGGTACTGCTTATGTCTATAGGCGACGGTTACCACTTTTCATCAGGTGGGCCGTGAGCTTGTTTGCCATTCTAAGTTGTATAAAAAAAAAATTAATAGCCTATAATTCTTTCTCGAGAAATAAGTTATCAAATGTAAAAATGATACTGATTGTAAAAAAAAAAACCTTCAAACAAACATATACTTGCACTATTATTAGTATAGATTTAAAGTTGCTATGGGGACGACTAAAAACATGGGGTGTGTTTATTGTACACTTGCTAACTTACGTAGCACACATGCAACCATGACTTTCACACATAGTTGGCTGACCCTTAAAATCGCCCTAAAGTGTAGTTTTATAATTACGTACATATGAAATGGCGGTTACGAGTCGCCACGATATAAATAGGTACCTAGATAGAAAGCAAAATGTTTGCAATTATATAAATTTATTTTTTATAGATAGATAAATACTCTATCTTGTTTCCTCCAAAAGATTACAATAGTAAATAAATAGATATAAAAATGTTATAAATAGATACAAATGATTACAAGAAATGTTCACACTGAAAAAGATGGGGTCACCATTCCATTGTCACCCATAAAAAGACCTACATGCAGTACGAACTATCGTGCTCAATTCTTGTCGAATTGGTCATGATAGTTCAAATGACCTGCATTCACCCTCATCTTTAATCTCTCACTGGTGCCCTGCTAGCGTGTATCGATAACACAGGCGGGGTTATCATTCCATTTTCACTAATTAAAAAAAAGGACTCCGGTGTCTTTTTCTTTATCATTCGAGCCCTAACTGTAACTATTCTATCGATAGATTCGATTAACCAAGTGGTACCTCAAGGAATTAACTTCGTCCTCATTCGTCATCTCTCATTACTCTATCCTGCTAGGATATTTTAACTTTCATGGTTAATTGTTATGGAATTCATCACAATGGATTAACTGACCTGCTTTCATCATAATCTATCATACCTCAGTAGTACCTCGTCAGGGTTTACCAATAGCGCAGACGGAGTTGCCATTCCATTATCACACACAAAAACCCTACTAAACTAAACCAATAATGCATGCAAGGTTACTATTTTATTTTCATCTATTATAAAACCACAATAATAATATCAAGTGAATAAAAAAGCTGCTATATTAAGTATGATGTATGCCTACGATCCTGTTACTGTTGTAACGAGGTCCTATTTTTTTAGAGGAATTATTGTGTCTCTACAAAAATTGAAATAAATAAATTTGATTAAACTAAATTTCCCCGTTTATTTTTATTCACCTCGTCGATTGGTCCTTCGAACCGGATATTAAAACAGCGATTTATGAATTTACATATTAATTTATATACTTTACCAACCTATCTCAAAAGACCTCAGTGAGATTAATTTTGACTGACGTCTGTCTGTACAGTTATAAGAATATTCATTCTTTTTCTTTGGTTTTTGCTGACGTAAAAATATCGTGTCTCAGCTATTGTTAACGCTTGACTAATTTATAAATTATAATCAAAATACCATAAAATTTAAATACTGAATAGTGTATGTTTTTATTGAAGATTTACACAATAGATACAGTTTTGCTCTGTTAACTACGAGTATATGAGGACGTGCCAAGTCGCCCAGCTAGCTGTGAAAAGCCAATGCTCACAGTATCACTACGTGATAGAATTCCATCCATAAAATAAATAAAATGATCGCCAGACAGAATCAATAATAACCAGAATTGGTAATAGATTGGTTACATAGCTTGGGTAATTTATAGCAGGTGCAGAAGTACCTTCTCGAATGACAACTCTGTTATAATCAATGGACCCTCAATGAGATAGAGAGATCTTGTCTCATCAAAGTTATTGTAAGAAGTCTATAAATGCAAATGTGAAGCAGTTGTGTTTGCATGGCTGTGTTTCAGTTTGAAGGGTGGGATATGGCTGTGAATTTACAGGGTACAGAGGAATAACACCTGAGTCCTCAGGAATGGCAACGCATGAGGGGTATCGTGGGCGAAACAGTATACTCTGTTATGTCTATGGTACTGCTCATGTCTATAGGCGACGGTTACTACTTTCCATCAAGTGGGCTTGTTTGCTGTTCTAAGTTGCATAAATGACTCAGAACCATAGTTTATGGTGAACTATAGAGGAGACTTACAAATCATCATTATCATTTCAGCTGTTAACTGTCCATTGTTGAATATAGGTCTTTCCCATAAGAAAGGTTTTGTCAGTAGTTGTCACGTTTGGCAAGCGGGTTGGCAAATCCATTTAGGCTTAAGTAATGTTTTAAGAGGGACGATGCTGCCTATTCCTCAACTATTAAGTCCCCTTTGTCGACATCTATGAGAAAGGAAAGAGTGGCTCATTTTACGCTGGAACAATATTGCAAACTACCTACGAATAAAAAATGATAAAATTTTAACTCGAAGTGTTAATAGACTAGCATATGTGATTCAGAACTATCATAATAATAATAAACTCTTTATTGCGTAAAAATAAAGATGTATACAAGGAGTATTTATACAGAATGTGCATATACAAAAGGCGGCCTTATCGCTAAAAGCAATCTCTTACAGGCAACCTGGATGATAAATGATATGATATCTTAATGGTCATTAATAAACGTTGTTAGAGGAGAAAGGGATAAGTAATAACAGTCCAATTGCTAGCATATTCAGGTCGACCTCCACGCGGTTCTCTCTGGAAACCATCGTGGTCAATTCTTGTCGAAATCTTCACGATGGGCCAACTGACCTGCCTTTATCTTCGCCTATCATCCCTCACTAGTGCCCCGCCGGCGTATACTGATAGCGCAGGCGGGGTAACCATTCCATTTTCATACATTTAAAAAAAAATAAAAGCTGTTACACTTAAGTAGTTATATTTATTTATACCGGTAAGTAAACATTTCAAACATATCAACATAGTTCCTGATCGTCAAAGTGAGACATCATTTGAATCACATTTAAAATAGATAAATAGATATATCCAGAATAAGTCTATTCTGGGACCGATCGTAAATAGAAAAAAAAAACATACGTGACTGCAAGTAGATTCCATGTTTATTTTGGCCATCGAGATCCAATGTGCAACAACAATATGTACCAATATGGACCATATGGTACCTACTGACCCAGTTTGAAACATCGTTGGATTTTAAACATATTTTATCACATATTCATGATACGGTAAACAATAAATATTCCGTTGTTCCCGTGGGAACCTGCAAAGTAATTCGTTATTGCA